TAGAGGGAAAGAAGGAAGGAAGGAACAAAATGTATGGGAAAAATGTGTCTTCCTGTTCTGAACAACTTTTCCAACATTTCAGTCTATCGTACCAATCAGTTAAATAAAGACAAAAGAATGACAAAGGTACCAATGACTTCTTATTTTTTTTCCCTCTATTGGAGAGGTTTTTGCTATAGGGTGCATGTACTCGCCAGAAAGACAGAGAGAGACAGAGAGACAGAAAGCGAGAAATCATCCCCCCCGGGGGGGTGGGGGGGGGTGGCCACGCCGCAATCCCTTCTCCTCCGTTCTCCTCTCGGGATCTTGGGCACTCACCCACACGCGCCCAGCATGAGTTTTAAGCCACTGGGTCCAGGACGCGAACCACGGTGGACTACATGGGAGTCCAGCGACATAGCCATTACGCTAACTGCTGGTTCCCCAGTGACTTCTGAATCAGATTATTGTTCTGGCTGCTAACATGGGTCCCATTCCTACTTTACGAGAAATCAGTATGAACTGAATACTCTTGGATAACTATTGGTTAAACTGGAGAGTAGCCCATTTTGTAACTTTAGGGAAATTACCCTTTTCCAAATCACCATACTTCCCAAGTATCCTCAAAGTTAGGCTAACAATTCCCTTGGGCATTCCCTACTGCTTAAAATTTTTCCGTAGTACTCATTTTAAATGATGGTAGAGACTTAAGCTGAGTCTGTAGTGTGGCTATACCACTGCCCTGGTTTAGGGCATACCATGTTCATTTTAGTCTTTGTAAATGGTGCTCCCTGGAGTTGTGTAGGGTGCAACATGCTTTGTGTATGTGGTGGTGTGGCAGTTCCACAATGCCGTCAAGCACACAGACTTCTGGTTTTCCTCAAAATTCCAACATGTGCCTTTTAATAAATTCTCACAAGATGGCCACTGCTTCTCAAGATATCATGCAGCGTCTTGCATCACTTGACTGGCTAGACTGTGTCACATGATTATCTGAGTTTTTCCTTTGGGAAAAGCTGAGTTTTTCCTTTGGGCTTGCCACCCTAAATGATATCAGACATATGTGAATTTGAAGAAGAGGAGGAGAATATTGGGTAGAATCTAACAGTGCCTGCCACACACACAATATTGAAATGCAGAAATTTTTGTTTCTTCAAAGACTAACATTATTTCAAAAGCATTTTGTCTTTCTTTCTTTCTTTCTTTTTTTTTTTTTTTTGAAAATTTGCTGTGGTTTGTGTGCACTTGCCAGAAAAAGACAGAGACTCAGAGAGAAAGAGAAAGAGAGAAAGCACTTCCCAGGGGGACTGGCCACTCCGCAGTCCCTTGTCGTCCATTCTCCTCTCAGGAATGGTTTTTAAGTCACCACGCCATTGGCTGATCCAAAAGCATTTTCATGTTTACCTTTTCAAGCAAAAGTTATGAGTGTTTTATAAATTTCTAACTTTGGTATCTCCCTTAATGTTAAATAAATCTGCTGGTACTGTCTTATATGTGTATATATTTAATTTTTTTCTCCTTATTTTAGACAAAGCATTTCTGTCTCTAGCTTCAACTATTGGAGAGCCAGCGCTACTTAATGCTACCAACAGTAGCCTCACCATCAGACTACCTCCAGCCACAACGAACCTCACATGGAACAGCATTACCAGCCCTACGCCAACATACTTGGTCTGTTACACAGCAGTGAATGGCCGGAAAAACAGCTCTGACAGATGTAGAATGCTGGTGAGATAGAGCTAAGGGTCTTTGTCGTTTCACAAGATGTCCTTTTTTGATACAAAATTATCAGCTATGATACAGTACTTCCCCTTTGTTTTGAAATGTACTATAATGCCACTTGTTCTAATCTTCTCGTCTGAACGTAAGTTTGGCTTCAAGGAAGTGTATTAACTCTGGCTAGTTGATGGATTGCCATGGCAACAGTTTTTTTTTTTTTTAATCTTGAAAGAACTGGATTTGATTACCTAATTATCCCCAGAGAGTGATAGAGATTTGTTTTTGTGGCCTATCCAGCAGATTGAAGTTTGAGGAGTAAGAAATGGGCAGAAAGAACATAGCCATATACTTTTCCACATAGTATTTATCTAATATAAAAATGGTACATTATGCTTTTGTCGATTATTTCTCATGTGTTGCGAAAGGTACTGCTGTTCAGGGACTCTGTGTTTATTCGTTATTGTATCCCCAGCACCTACACAGTACTTGGCATTGTCTAGGCATTCATTTGATATTTCTTGAATGAATTAATTGGAATGATTTATCCCAGCATTAGCATTACTTATCCCAGTTATATATATTGTATATATATATGTGTGTGTGTGTGTGTGTGTGTGTGTGTGAATATACACATATACAATATTTTTCTTTGTGCTTAGCTTTACTTAATCAATTCAAAAGTGACCTTCACATCTACGGGACACCAAGCACTTGCCATAAAGTAGTCATGATTCTTGTTACTGCACTTATTTTGTAACCTTTCTTTATACGTTCCTAAAATGAGTTGTTTCAGAGGTCACTTGGGCCATTTGGCTGACCAAGCTTGGGCATTGTGTGGCACTGGGTATCTGTTGTTAGAACTAATCTATCTTACCATCTTTGTATCGATTAATGTGGGTCTAAGTCAATGGTTCTCCATTTTGATGAAATATTGTTTTGTTTTGTTTTAAACTAGGGCCCAGTCTTCACTCTAGGCAATTCAGAATTTCTGGAAGTGGAACCCGGACATAATACTTCTTTCTGGTAGAGGTTTTTGCCTTGGGGTGCATGTGCTCACAAAAGAGAGACAGACAGATACAATGAGAAGGAACTTGAGAAATCACCCCCAGGGGGGATGGCCACACTGCAATCCCTTCTCCTCCATTCTCCTCCCGGGATCTTGTACACGCACGCACAGAGGTCCGGCATGAGTTTCAAGCCACCAGATTGGAGACTCGAACTGTGATCGGCCATGGGGGAGTCCAGTGCTTTTTAAAAACTTCCCAGATGACTCCAAAGTACAACCAAACTTAAGAATCATTGGTCTAAGAAAAGTCTTTTTACCCTATTACTCTAAGAATGGCTAGACAATATAGCTTAATCTTTTATTATATTTACTTAAGTAGTACATCCTTACAATATAGTATTAATTAAACAGTGTCCTTTTTTGAGACTTTAGCTTCCTATATGAAATAAATTATTTCACAAAATTGAGTGAGGGCTACCAATCATTGTCATTTATTCTTGGAGATATTAAACAACTTAGGTCTTGGTAGACAGAATAGTGGGATTGTCATTAATAATCCAGAATTTAAAATAAATTAACTTTTTTAAATTGAAAAAGTTTAATTTTTCTTCTCTTTGGTTAAATAATTTCTAGCCATTTATATAATATATAGGAATAAGATATTAATTTTTAAAAATTAATTACAGGAATTTCAGGAGAGAATAGCCCTTATTGAAGATTTACAACCATTTTCAACATATATGATACAAATAGCTGTAAAGAATTATTACTCAGATCCTTCAGAACATTTACTTCTGGGAAAAGAGATTTGGGGAAAAACCAAAAGTGGAGGTAAGTTATGGGTTTGTTGTGGGTTACTGGAGTGAAATTTTGTTATATATGTGAAGCATGCAGGGGGACTCATATATATAGGAAAAGTTCATGGAAAAATAGAATTAAAGGATGAGTTCATTTTGGTTTAAAAAGTTTTTTTTAATATATGTGCTTTATAAAAAAATAATATTCATTTTGTATGGAGAACCCTCACATATGTTTATATTTGCTTTTCAAAAAATTTGAATGCTGGGACCAACAGGTGGCGTGGTGGTTAAGGCGCTGGACACTCCCACATGGCTGACCATGGTTGGAGTCCCAGACTTGGTGGTTGGCTTTCTCACTTACCCTCTTTCTCGCTCGCTCTCTGTGTCTTTGTCAAATTAAAAATAAATGAATGAATAAATAAAATTTAATAATTATTAAAAAAAAGAAAACTGTTTCAGAATAAATAGGTTATAAAAAATTTGAATGCTAAGTAGTCATTATTATGTAAAGTTTTTCAGTTGTTTTGCTACTGGGTTGTATGCACTTGCCAGAAAGAGAGAGAGAGAATGAGAAATCACTCCTTGGGAATGATGGCCATGCTGTGGTCTACTTTCCCCCATTCTCCTCTTGGGATTTTGGGCATGCGCGCACGTATGCCTGGCATATTTTCCAAGCTACCAAGTCTATGACTTGAACCGTGCACTCGGCCATGTGGGATCCAGCCACCTTAACCACCGTGCCACCTATTATGTGAACTCTTAAAAGTTGAATAAGAAAAATGTATTTGTGGAACAATATTTTGATGACGTGACTGTTAAACTAACTAATATTCCATCAAAATGAGAAACAACTAAGAGGTGAAACATCATAAACAAAAGTTTGACCAACAAATACATTCTTTCATTTCACCACACAGTGTCACTCTCTTCCCATATATTCGTAAGTCTGTATATGTGGTGAAGCCAGAGAGCCACACCTTTCCACCACGTGAATTTCACTGGGGCCACTAAGATTTATAGTATTATAAGATCATTGCCTGAAAGAAAGTAGGTCTAGAATCTAAAAACAGTATTCTAGGAAATGGCAATTATTATGAAATGATGTTATTTCTTTTAGATGGCTCTCTGATGATATTCACGAAACTCATTGAATGGGATTACTCATCATTGGCCATATCTTTGAAATGGAGTCAAGGAATCAGTTGGTCACTAGGCAAAAATAAATAAGAGCCTTTCAGGCAGCCTGTTAACTTACCGTTACATCAGAGTCTGACTTTCCTTCTGTATGCCTGTTAGTCCTAGATATGATATTTCTCATATGATAAGATTATTCCTCAACTAAGACTTCATTAGTTCTTTCTACCTCTCAGTGCTGTTGCAACATCGCCCATCATTCTTTGCCATTTATTTCAGTACCAGAGGCAGTATGGCTCATTAACACAACTGTGCAGTCAGACACCAGTCTTATTATATCTTGGAGAGAATCTCACAAGCCAAATGGACCTAAAGAGTTAGTCCGATATCAATTGGCAATCTCACATCTGGGCCTAATTCCTGAGACTCCTCGAAGACGAAGCGAATTTCCAAATGGAAGGCTTGCTCTGTTTGTTACTGCACTGTCTGGTGGACAATTATATGTGTTAAAGGTGCAGTATATTGGGTACTTGTTATTGCCAGTTTCCAGTGTAAGGTTATGAAAAAGTTAATCAACTGTTCTTTTTTACAAAAAGGTTCTGGCCTGCCACTCTGAGGAAATGTGGTGTGCTGAGAGTCATCCTGTCACTGTCAAAATGTTTGACACACCAGAGAAACCTTACGCCTTGGTTCCAGAGAACACTAGTTTGCAATTAGAGTGGAAGGCTCCATCTAATGTTAACCTCATCAAATTTTGGTTTGAACTCCAGAAGGTAAACTTTTTAAGTAAATCTTAATTTTGTGATTCATATCATAAATAAGTTGTAATTTATACCCATTTATGTCATATATTCATTTGTATCATATATAAATTGGAATACCCTTTTCAAATGTCTAGAGAGCTCTCTTATATAATGAACAATATATTTGACAACATTCATTGATTATAATTTGGCCTGAGGAAGCAGTAAGTTAATTTCTTTTGTTCCTACTTTTAAAAAGCTATAATTTTTATTTACATTCAATCATTGCATATCTCTATAGCTCACATTATGATTTTTCAAAATATACAAGCAGTATATGACAATCAAATTTAAAAATTACCATATACATCATTTTCAATAGAGAACCTTACATTCTTATGTCTGTTAAGTGTTCCTCTTCTTTTCCTCTCCCAGCCATCCCTCACCATCCCATCCCCTCCCTGATAGTCTCTGATATTTATACTTATCCTCTATACTACCATATCTTTGGATTTTTCAATCTCTGCCATAAAGTGAAGGCATTTATATATTAAGGTTGGTGCAAGAATAATTGTAGTTTTGCATTGTTTAACTTTGTTGTTTGATATTGGATATATTCTTAAATAAATGTGGCTATTTTCTAGATCATTTTAATGTGCATTTCTCACTGTTTGTTTTTTTCTAATGACTTACTGACTACTGTTTAGTTTATATGTACTTTAGACTATGGCAATGATGTTAGACAAAAAGTAAATTCGAGCAACTTTCTTATTCAAGTTCAAAATGGGTCGTAAAGCAACAGAGACAACTTATAACATCAACTCATTTGGCTCAGAGATTGCTAAAGAACATACAGTGCAATAGTGATTCAAGAAATTTTGCAAAGGAGATGAGAGCCTCAAAGATGAGGAGATAGTGGCCAGCCATCAGAAGCTGACAAGGACCAACTGAGAGCAATCATCAAAGTTGATCTTTCTTCAACTACACTAGAAGTTGCTGAAGAACTTAACACTGACCATTCTATGGGTTCTTGGCAATTGAAACAAATCGGAAAGGTGAAAAAGCTTAATAAGTAGGTACCTTTTAAGCAGATGAAAAATTTTTAAAAAGTTGTGTTTTATAGTGTTGCCTTCTCTTATTCTACATAACAGCAAACCATTTCTCAATTGGATTGTGATGTGTGATGAAAATTGGATTTTATATAATAACCAAGGATGACTAGCCCAAGTGATTGGGCTGAGAAGAAGCTCCAAAACACTTCCCAAAGCCAAACTTGCACCAAAAAAAAGGTCATGGCACAGTTTGGGGGGTCTGATTCACTATAGTTTTCTGAATCCAAGCAGAACCATTACATCTGAGAAGTATACTTAACAAATCAATGAGATGCACTGAAAACTGCAACACCTGTATCTAGCATTGGTCAACAGAAAGGGCCAGTTCTCTACAACAACCTACCACATTTCATACAACCAGTGCTTCAAAAATCAAAGGATTTGCCTCATCTGCCATGTTAATCTGACCTATTGACAACCAACTACAACTTACTCAAATATCTTGACAGCTTTTTGCAGGGAAAATGCTTGTGTAACCAGTAGAATGCAAAAGATGCCTTTCCAGAGTTCATTGAATCCCAAAGCATGGATTTTTACACTACAGAAATAAACTTATTTCACATTCACAAAATGTGTTGATTGTAATGGTTCCTATTTTGAGTAAGAAATATGTGTTTGAGACTAGTTATGGTGATTTAAAAGTCACAGTCCAAAACTGCAATTGCTTTTGCACCAACTGAATATATTGAATGGGGGATATACAGTATTTGTCTTTCGAAGTCTGGTTTATTTCACTTAGCATTAAATCTTTAGTACTCATTCACTTTAAATAAAATGACAAAATCTCATTGTTTCTTATGGCTGAATAATATTCCATAGTGTATATGTGCCACAATTTTTGAACCCAGTTTTCATTTCTTCGTCATTTAGATTGAGTCTATGTCTTAGCAATTGTGAGTAATGCTATAATAAACATGCGAGTGTAAGTGTCCTTCTGTCTGAGAAGTTTCCTATTCTTTGGGTAAAATACTGTCTTGAATGGTAGTTCTATTTTTAGGCTTTTGAGGAACCTCCATATTTTTTTCCACAGTGTCTGTACTAATTTACATTCCTTTCTCTTTTTTTTTTTTTTTTTGGAGAGGTTTTTGCTATAGGGCGCCAGACAGACATAGAGACAGAAAGCGAGAAATTACCCCCCAGGGAGGATGGTCACGCCGCAATCCTTTCTCCTCCATTCTCCTCCCGGGATCTTGGCCACGCACGCACATGCGCCCGGCGTGAGTTTTAAGCCACTGGGTCCAGGACGCAAACTGCGGTCGACAACGTGGGAGTCCAGCGACATAGCCATTACGCTAACTGCTGGTTCCCAAATTTACATTCCTTTCAACAGAATCTGTGGGTTCCCTTTTTGGCACACCTTTTCCAGCACTTGTTCTTTATTTTTTTGATCATAGCCATTCTGAACAGGGTAGAACCATATATCATTATAGCTTTAATGTGCATTTCCCTTATGATAAGGGATGTTGAACATTTTTTCATGTGCTTTTTGGCTATTCATATGTCTTCCTTAGAGAGTTGTCCAGACTAATTTCTGATGGAAAGATCCAGAGATTAATCTGCTCTTAAAAGGATCTATGTAAAAGGGTATGAGTTACTGCTTACTGATTTCATAATATTATGCTTAATTTAGTTAGATGTTATCAGTGTGATTCTCCAGTTTAAAGTCCATAGCAAATTAGTGTTTTCTATAAAATAAAAAAGAAAGCTTTGAAAAAACAAAAAGAGCAAAAACCTTGTCTAAAAATGTTCTTTCAACTATGTGAGGGCTTTATAGTAACAGGAGAGAAGTAAAATATAAAACCTTTTGATCTAAATTACTTTAGTGCTGGCTTGCAAGCTTTGTATGTTTCTTCATTCAAAATCCTTTATTTAAAAAATAAATAACTAATAATTCCAAAGGGCATGTGTGCGAGAAAGTGAAAAAGCACTTCCCTATAGGGGATGGCCATGCTGCAATCTCTTCTCCTCCACTTCTCATTTATTTTGGGATTTGGACCATACATGAACATGCACTGGAATGTTTCTTTTTTTCTGGATGGTTGGAGAGGTTTTTGCTATAGGGCGTGTGCGCTCGCCAGAAAGACAGAGAGAGACAGAGAGACAGAAAGCGGGAAATCACCCCTGGGGGAATGGCCATGCTGCAATCCCTTCTTCTCCATTCTCCTCTTGGGATCTTGGGCACACACACATATGTACCCGGCTTGAGTTTAAGCCACTGGGTCTGGGACTTGAACCACAGTCGGCTACATGGGAGTCCAGTGACATAGCCATTATGCTAACTGCTGGTCCCCAATAAAATAATCCTTTTTTTAAAAAGCAATATAGCTGCGGTCTCACTGTTTCTCTAAAACTGAGGTGGTTATTCAGTATATTTTTTTAAATTTAGTATATATAATTTTTTAAAATAATCTTTTACTTTTTGGATAAAAACTATAAAAATACAGAACTATACTGTATATTGAGTTGATAACATCAAAGCCATAGTTTTTTTTTTTTTTTTTCACTATAGGGCACATGCGCTCGCCAGACAGACAGAGAGAAACATAGAGACAGAAAGCGAGAAATCGCCCCCCAGGGGGGATGGTCACGCCGCAATCCCTTCTCCTCCATTCTCCTCTCAGGACCTTGGGCATGTATGCACACGTGCCCGGCGTGAGTTTTAAGCCACCGGGTCCGGGACACGAACCGCGGTCGACTATGTGGGAGTCCAGCGACATAGCCATTATGCTAACTGCTGGTTCCCTCAAAGCCATAGTTTAATTGTACTACTATTGACCATGTTTCTGATAGTTTGTTGCCTATTTACAGATAATATTTATAAACTTATAAAATGTGACTCAATTCGAAGACTGTTTGTTTTAGGGCTATCTATTTAAATAAGCTTGATGCAGTTCAGTCTAATGTCAGGGGGAGGAATGTAAAGTTAATTTCCTAGATCAAAGAAATGACCTTGAAGATGATGATGCTTGAGTCTTTCATTCTACTTAGATTTTAAATTCCACAAAGTAAAAAAAAAATTGTAACAGACTATAAAAGAACAACATATTCAATTTAATATTAGAAAGGTATTAGATATTACATATCAAAGATATTGCTTTCATAAGTTTTTTCTAGAAGTTTATTTAAATTGTGATTTTTTTTCCAGCTGCCCAGGCAAACCCTTATAAGAACTAAATAAACTCAGAAGTTCTTATTTATTTTATTTATATATATATAGATAGATAGAGACAGAGAGACAGAAAGTGAGAAATCACCCCCCAGGAGCGATGGCCATGCCACAATCCCATCTCCATTCTCCTCTCGCAATTTTGGGCATGCACACACACGTGCCTGGCGTGAGTTTAAGCCACCGGGTCCAGAACTCGAACCATGGTCAACTACATTGGAATCCAGCAACATAGTCATTATGCCAACAGCTGGTCCCTCAGAAGTTCCAATTTATAAGACATCATAGTTCATATTTCCCCAATTCCTACCCAAATATTTTGCAAATCCCTCTGTGTAACCACCACCCCTTCACTTGTTGGCCACTGACAAATGGAAGGTCCTGAGTGGTTTGTAATTTACTAGGATACTGCATGTCATTCTTTTAAGTTGGTGGTCCGCCCAGAATATTCATTGCTACGGTAAAGCCAATACTCACAGTTTTCCAGAAATACCCTTGGCCAAACATCTCCCCAACATTTAAAGGAGCCCTGAGAATTTCTGTATGGTGTGGAATGTTGGGTCCCCTAGGCTATTTACTTATGGTAGTTTCTATACCAGATTATTAAGGAGGCAAAACCAAAAAATGTTAATATTTTTTAGCCAAGATTTACATAGACTCTGTTTCTCTGAAGGTCCAGGGCAAATATTTCAGATTTAATTCACTTGTTTCATTAAACCATATGTTTCAGTGGGATTGATGTGTAGGAAAGTTCTTAATATTATCATTTATATATTTTTTATTTGTATACCATGTTCCCTTTTTTCTCTTTGATTTTTGTAGTATGGTGTCCTACTTCCTGAAGGTGCTCTCCAGAATCTCTCCTAACTGAATAGAAAACGAATATAAAGTGTCATGATGTGACCTTGTAGGTGTTAAATGGGAAAGGAGATGTAAAGTTTATTTATGGTAACTGACCTTAGGAAACTCTACAAGAGAAAATACACCATGAACCTTTGACAAAATGCCATATCTTCTATCTTTTCCTATTTGTATGTTTAGTGAAAGAAAACAAACCATCATTTTAAAATAGTGATATGATTATTAATAGTGGTATCAACATCATTACTTAATATTACTATTGTTATTATCAATAATGACAATCTGTATATAAATATGTGTACAATGATATTACACAGATTTTTAAAAAGCAATGTCACAGAGAAGGCAGTTTCATAAAACTAAATTATAGGGTTAATATCTAAGGTAGAATGAAAGCAACATTCAAGTTCTAACCTTGCTACTTAGTGGCTGCATTATGGTGAGCAAAACCTTTCTCTTCTTAGGAATCTAAGCTTCCTGCATATGAAGATAGGGAACAATGACCACTTGCCTGAAGAGAGTTTTAGGATGAAAATACCTAAACGTTTCAGTTTGTTAGTCACATGAACTTCAATGAAACGAACCATGTAAAATGTTATTCTGAAATTTAAAAATGTGTAGAATAGAAAGTGTCACAGTTTTCATCCATTAATGTTCTTCAGTTAAGAATTTGCATTTTGGGACAACCAGCTGGTGTAATGGACTCCCATGTAGTTGATTGTGGTTCGAGTCCCAGACCTGGTGGCTTAAACTCATGCCGGGTGCATATGCGTGTGTGCCCAAGATCCCGAGAGGAGAATGGTGGAGAAGGGACTGCAACGTGGCCATCTCTGCTGGGGGGGCAATTTCTCATTTTCAGTTTCTCTCTGTCTTTCTGGTGAGTGCATGCACCCTATAGCAAAAACCTCTCTCTCAAAAAAAAAAAAAAAAAAAAAGAAGAAGAATTTGCATTTTTAACCCTCTTGATTTTCATATAGGATTCTAACTTCAGGGACAACAGGATTTGCTGTTTTGAATCTTCTAGAAGAGATATAGTCAGAAAAGCCTATCCTACTTTGGGTTTATCCTAAAAACCATCATTTATGTCAGTGATACCTTACCATAAAAAAATAAAACTGCTGTAAGTCCTGGGGATAATCTTTGGGATCAAATATTCATAAAGAAAACTTTATTCTTTAATAGAAAGTACATTTTATTTAAGTATTAATCACTTACCATAAGCCCATACATTTCTGCTTAGAATTTGTTTTTTTTTTAAAAAACAACAATGTTAATTGAGACTTCTTTTTCTAGTGGAAATACAACGAGTTTTACCATGCTAAAGCTTCATGCAGCCAAAATCCTGCTTATGTCTGTAACATCTCAAATCTACAGCCTTATACTTCGTATAATGTTCGAGTAGTTGTGGTTTATGAAACAGGAGAAAACAGTACCTCACTTCCTGAAAGCTTTAAGACAAAAGGTGAGTACTAACACATGGAACTCTCAGAAAACCCTGTGTCTCATTCTTTTCTCATTCGCCCATTTTTAGAGGTTGAAACTTGTCTTTGAAAAGACTATATTACTATTTCTGGAGTTTGATTAAATAAGTTGAAAAGTTAGGGATCATTATAGACAGAAGTGAAAAAATACTGGCCTCATCTTCAGGATTCTGAACTAGGCAAAATTAGTTCTCCTTTCAGTATTCTGATTTACTATCTATAGTAGTTATGACACTTTGCAGTGATAAATAAATTAAAATAGTGTTACTGAGTGTTCAATAAATATTTATTTGTGACTACTATTATTCAGATGCTAAAAGTGAAAAATCTTTAAAAAATCCATTAAACTAACAAGTATTATGAAAGATACACCGTAGCTCCAACTTGATCCCTATAAAAATTTACTAAGGTGAAATGCTCCAAAACTTATCATAGTTTCCCTTATTTGCATTTAATTGCCAGGGGGATGTACACTTGCCAGAGAAAGAGAGAAAGAAAGAGGAGGAAAGTACACCCCCAATGGGATGTGGTCATGGTGCAGTTCCTGCTCCTTCTTTTCTCTGTCCTGTTGAGATTTGGGGTTTAAACTGAACTTGGTCATGTGGGATCTGGCTCACTTAACCTTAGGTATAGAGCTAGCCCTGTTTATCATTTATTATGTGGCAAGCTGGGATATATTGTCAATCCAGTCAATAATGCACTTAATCCATCACTCATAAAAATTTCAGATACTGGGGATCAGCAATTGGCATAATGGCTATGTCACTGGACCCCCACATAGTCGAACATGGTTCGAGTCCCGGACCTGGTGGCTTAAACTCATGCCGGGCATGTGTGCATGCATGCCCAAGATCCTGAGAGGAGAATAGAGGAGAAGGGATTGTGGCATGGGCACCTCCCCCTGGGGGAGGGTGATTTCTTGCTTTCTGTCTCTCTGTCTCTCTCTTTCTGGCAAGCACATGCACCCTATAGCAAAAACCTCTCAAAATTTTTTTTCAGATACTCATTTAAAAATATATAGTCATATCAGAATCTTGCTTTAACGTATTGGTCTTTCTTCTTAGTAATCCTAGAAAAGTGTCAATGTAGAATATTTTATACTTCTAATACACCAATTGATACTTTCTTTTGTTTTCAAAGCTGGAGTTCCAAGTAAACCAGGCATTCCAAAATTATTAGAAGGGAGCAAAAATTCAGTACAGTGGGAAAAAGCTGAAGATAATGGAAGTAGACTTATGTACTATCTCCTTGAGATCAGGTACGTTTGTTTGTAAAAACACTTTATGAACTACAAATTTAAGTTGTTAATTGTAACGTGATCAAAATGAACATTTATGATAGTGTATTTATATAAAAATACAAAGGAACTTTTGCCTAAGGACTTTGCATGCATCAATAAATTCTTTACTCAATTCCTGGGAGTCAGCCTTGAAACTCTAATTATAAGATATATTGCATCATTCTCAGAAATCTGCACCTACTCATCAAAACTTTATGGAAATCATTGCGGAGGCTCATGCGACCGATATTTACCTAATGCCTATACTGATTAAGAAGCTGAGCTGCTATTTGATGCTAGATGATGGTATGCATGTAAATGCTTAAATAGTTTGTTTTAGCAAGGTGAATATATTCTAGTGAGAACTGACAATGAGCTGGGTATTTTTCAGGGATGTAAGATTAGATCAGGGGCTGAAGTGGCCTGAAATGTATGGGTCACATAAGAACGTCTATCTGCTGTGAAGATGACAGTTTGCAATGTGATCCCAGGGCCTGAAAATGTGCCATCAATGAAAACTACCAGCTGATGAACACATGCAACCTCAGACCTGGCCAGTACGGGGAGCTCACTGAGCCATAACTGGCTCAGAAAGACTGACTTCATGCCAACTTGAGGGGAGAATTCAAAATTCCAATGACATTCCCCTCACGGGACTGCAAAACTATCTTTTAAGAAGCTCCAAGGACAAAAGTCACTTCCATAATTATAGTCCTGGAAACTTGAGCTTTAGATCTATTTTTGCTTCATCTTGTTCTAGTATTCCCATAACCTTAAAACATTTTCTTGCTCATGCTAGATAATTCCTTTGGCCACTTTTCTAATTAGAAGTTCTTGAAATTTCTGTTACTGTTTTTCATGTAGAGTGAAGTACATTCTGACCTGCATAGCTGTCTTGGTGATCTGTGTAGTTGTGTTCAGCAACCAGGCCTCAGCACAGTTCTTCCTAGGACCCTCTTAGTGTGTTCTCTTCAGTGGCATTGTATGTGTGCAGTTCCATGTAAGCACCTTGTATACTCCTTGTCCCAGGTCTCCACTGTCAGAACATGGAGTATACGATACAGAATAAATTGCTGTAACTTCAGTGTTTCAGAGTAAGTTCAGGACATTTTAGTTAGATCCTATGTACCTGCTGATGGTACAGTAGGAGGACAAAGTACGTGAACTTAAGCACTGAATTTATTAGCTTTCTAGGACCACCATAAAAAAGTACCACCAACCAGGTGGCTTAAAACAACAAAAATTATTCTTATAGGTCTGCAGGCTAAACACCTGAAATCAAGATAAGCAGGACTGTGCTACTTCTGAGGGGTTTAAGGTTTTAAGGAATAATCCTCCCTTGCCTCAGGTTTTTGCTATAGGGCGCATGCGCTCACCAGACAGAGAGAGACAGAAAGCGAGAGATCACCTCACAGGGGGGATGGCCACGCCACAATCTCTTCTCCTCCCAGGATCTTGGGCACGCACGTACACGTGACCGGCATGAGTTTTAAGCCACCGGGTCTGTTACGTGAACCACGGTCGACTACGTGAGAGTCCAGAGACATAGCAGTTATGCTAACTGCTGGTCCCCCTTGCCTCTTCTTAACTTCCAGTTTTTTTCTGGCAACCCTTGGTGTTCCTTGGCTGGTAGATACATTCATTATCTGGTCTTTATCTCTATCATCACATGGTGGTCTGCCCATGTGCACCTCTGTATGAGTTTCCCTCTTCTTATAAGGATACCAATCATAGAATTAGAGCCCGTGCTAAACTGGTATGACTTCATCCTAAGTTGGTTACATCTGCTTCCAAACAAGGTCTCCTTCACAGGTTCTGAGTGGCCATGAATTTAGGGGAGGAGGGACTATTCAATCCAGTACACAGACCCTGTCTAAATCTTTGCACTTTTCATTTTTGGAAATTAAGTTCATCTGTAAAATGGAGATGATGACATCACTTTAGGTTGTTGTGAAGACTCAGTAAAATGAAAGAGCATATGTGCAGCACCACTATTGTGTGTTGTAAATAGAAGGTGCTCAGCCAATGTCAAATTTCTTCATCCTCTTCCTCAATGGTCAATAACTGTGAGGAGACACTTCACAAAAATTCAGGGGCCTCTTTCTTATGCATCAGAGTTCTTTGGTTAAACAATGAAATTGCCAAGGCTTACCATAAGACTTCACAAAATGTATGAAAACATGTGTTGCAGTATTTTACTCAAGACATCCCTAAGACACTTACCTCCTGGGAATGGTTGTGACCAACTCTGCTGCTCCAAAGTTCCTGAGACTGTTGCCCATTCCTTGCCTTCCATGAAACTCAGTCCTTCTTATCCTGTTGCTTTTTTCAGGATGACCACTCAACAGGAGCAGAACTGGTTTCTACTTCATCCCTAAGTTTACTGTGCATTGGTACTGTGTACCAAAACTGATGCACTCTGAAAAGTTTCAAACTGAAAATGTCCTTCATTGTCAGAGAAGACATCATTGGAAGATCTTGAGCTTGCCTTTACTTAATTATTCTGTTAGAAGTCATTCCCAATTATGTTTTTCTGAACCTAGTTCATGTGTTCTCTCCATGGTTCGAATGAAGAGTAACATGAATTGACTCTGAGGTGAAGTGTAGGCCAGTTTAAAGGAAGCAATGAACCTTAGAATCTCAGATGAAATGATAACATTAGTAGTTGAAATATCACATTCTCTTTATAAATTTAAAAAGAGATTTTTGGTATAGGGTGTATGTGCTTTCCAGAGAGACAGAGAGACAGAAAGCAAGTAATTACTCCCCGGGAGAGGATGGCCACACCACAATCCCATTTCCTCCATTCTCCTCTTGGGATTTTGAGCATGCATGCACATGGACCCAGCTGGATCTGGGCCTACATGAAGTCCAGCGACATAAACATCATGCCATCTGCTGGTCCCAATTTCATATTTTTTATTTTACCCAGACATGGCATAAGTAAACTATGATTGGCAAAAGAGACTGAAAATGGAGAAAACCAGAAAATTCCCAGTCAAAAGTTATGGAAATATTGTCTTATGTGGAATTCTGAAGACAGTTTATACAGTCTGATAGTAGGAAAAGAATCTTCAGCTTTCTCTTGGCCATTGGTTATTCATCACTTTCTTGACTGATTCCCTGAAGCACTAAGATGACTATAAAACCTTGCTGTATTCTCTATCCAGATTATGGGAGAGGAGTGGGGTCAAGGATGAAGTGTGCAACAAGAGACTCGGGAGTTCTGGTCATTTAAATGATAAATGCGTAACTAGAAATAACACATATATTATCACACATGTTTTTTGTTTTTACTATTTTATTGTTTCTTTTGCAGAAAAGGCACTTCAAATGATTCAAAGAACCAGAGTTTGAAGTGGAGAATGACATTCAATAGTTCCTGTAGTAGCATTTGCATATGGAAGTCCAATAATCTGAAAGGGACTTTTCAGTTCAGAGTAGCAGCTGCAAATAATCTGGGATTTGGCGAATACAGTGACATCAGTGAGAATATTACATTAGTGGGAGGTATGCCACCATGTCTGATGACACACTAGCTTATTATATGGAAGTTCAATGATAAAGATAGCTGGTTCCTTTTATTTATTTTTTTTCACCAGAGGGCACATGTGCAGTGAGCAAAGGGAGGAAAAGAGGGAAAAGCACCTCCTAATGGGGCATGGTCATACTACAGGTCCTTTTCCATTTCTCCATCTTGCTGGGAGTTGGGGACACATGCACACACTCCTGGTGTGTTTCAAGCTGCTGTGGCCAGGATTTGAACCATGGTTGGCCATGTGGAATCCAGGTCCCTTAGCCTCTATGTTGAGGTCAGCTTGATCTTAATATTAGCAACAGCCACCATGCCTGTATAACCTGTTATCTAGGTTATTGAACTATTCAATCGATCTAATATGGTTTTCCTAAAATATTGTCAGTATGTAATTTTTCTCCCTTGATACAATAAACTACTCCTTAATGTCTACCATATCAATTCCCTTCTCCTAAATAGGCTCCCAAGTTTGCCCACAATCTAGATCTTTATCTATCCAGCTTTAGTATCCCATTCCTGGTATAGGACTCCCTCCTATCAGTCATTTCATCTTCCAAGGCTTCAGTTACCATTAGTCAACAGCAGTTTAAAAATATTAAATGGAAAATCCTAGAAATAAATAATTCTTAATCTTACATGTGGATAGTGATGAGTAGTGTAATGAAACGCTGTGTCCTCCTGCTCTGTCTCACACAGAACACCATTATTCCTTTGCCTAGCATATCCACATTGTATACATTCTGTGCCTGTTAGTGTCTTAGCTATCACATCAAAAACCATGATACATGTAGTTTTGTACTCTCTGTCACTTCTAGCATCCAGTTATGGGTCTTGGAATGTATCTCCCACTGATAAGGGGGGACCATTGTACTTTCACCTTTAACACAAGAGGCCTGACACTATTCTTTGTCTCCTCCCTGACAGCTGCCTCTTCCATTGTGCATCCTATTTTAGTCTATGATACATTGTCTTTTATCACATTAAGCTGGAAATCTCAGCAATAGTTGATATTGCTCTCTACTCAGTCACCAAGTTATATTGATTTTACTTTTTCTAGTTCTCTCTGAGGAGTTCCACCTCGGTGTTCACAAGTTAAGGCATTGTTTCTTGCCTGTGCTCCTGCCTTAATCACACTACTGACTGTTAATCTAGCCAAAGCACAGGCTAGATCACCTAACCCCGCTCTAAAATACTCATAATGGCTCTCCATTCCCTACCTTCACAATCAACTACAGACTTCTGTATGACATGTAAGGTCTTCCATGATTTGTCCTTCAATTGTTTTCATCTTTCCTGATATTTATTTATTTATTTATTCATTTATTTATTTATTATTTGGAGAGGATTTTGCTATAGGGCACGTGAGCTCACCAGAAAGACAGAGAGACAGAAAGCAAGAAATCACCCCCCCCCCCCCCGGGGAAATGGTCATGCCACAATTCTTTCTCCTTCATTCTCCTCTCAGAATCTTGGGCACGCACATACATGCGCCTGGCGTGAGTTTAAGCCAGGACTAGAACTGTGGTTGAATACATGGGAGTCCAGCGACATAGCCATTACACCAACTGCTGGTCCCATTCCTGATATTTATTCATAGCTATAGCCATATTAGACTGGTAGAAAGTCTTTGGGTCACTAAATCTTTGGCCTTGTGTTTCCTTTAGACTAGAATCCAGGCCACAACTCTTCTGCATGCTCCTGAACTGGGATTTCCTTTCCTTTTCTTTCTGACAGATGAAATTCTTCTCATCCTTCAAGACCTAACTTATTACATCCATTGTAATACCTGACTAATGCTCCTTAGGCAAAATGAATTACTGAGTTTTACATACATACATTCCATAAACTTGTATCATTCTTATTTGTATTACAGTGTTATCTGCATAAGAGCCTGGCAAACTTTCTTTCTTTCTTTTTTTTTTTTCTCATTAAACTTTGTTTTAATGGGTCTCAAAATTCTGTGACAGATTTTTGGTCAAGTTCTTCCTGGCAAACTTTCTGAAAAGAACCAAAAAGTAAATATTTCAGGTTTTGCAGACTATATTGGATCTCTGTAACTTTTTTTCTCATCTTCCTTTTAAAGATAATACATAAAAAATGTAAAAAAATATTCTTAACTCACAGGCAGATGGTATAAAGCCAGACTTTGGTCAGATTTGGCCCTTGGGTCTTAGTTTGCCATGCCACATTCTACACGTTTTCTCTTCTACACAACTGAGACCACCTAAGGGAAGACACCCTGGCTTCATGTTTATATTTCTCAGTTTAATACCCATGGACTTAAGTGTGAATAAAGATGTTATAAAATAATAATAATCTCAACTACATAATGCATGAAGATTGTGACTTCTTGGTCCCAAATTCATTTACAAGATTATGTTTCCCCAGTCATTGTAATATAGAAGATTGGTGGGTGTATTTCAATGGTGTGTTGGTAAATGGGCTCTCTGGGGTGGAGGGAACACCAAAAACCTTGCTTTTGGTTTTCAGTGGTATAAATACACTCGCCACTCTGCAGGATGATTTTAAGTTACCAACCATTTATCAACTGGCTTACAAAAGTTGTGGAGGATCTAGCTAGCTGTGCTGAGGTAGAACAGGGATTATTTGGCTTTATTTTGTGGATTAATTAATTTTTCTCATTTATATCATCAGATGGTTTTTGGATACCAGAAACAAGTTTTATACTTACTATTATAATAGGAATATTTCTGGTTGTTATAATTCCATTGGCTTTGGGTAAGTATCATAGACTTAAAAAATAAGTAGTAAGCTGTTTACTTGATTATACTGATTGATTTAACTCTTAATTTACCTAATCTCTCACATAAAGCATGACTTGAGTTCCTAAGTTCATAAAATTCACAATGTTACCTTTGACTATTGCATAATCAAAAACTTCTGTGAGTTTTATTCTGATAAAGGGGTAAATAGCTTATAAAAAATGTATCCGTATTTACACTTTCTGGTATACTTAGATAAAACTACTTTTAAGGTCACCACCTTGTAACTTTCTTTAAAACTGCATTTGTTGGGCCAGCAGGTGGCATGGTGATTAAGATATTGGACTCCCACATGCCTGACCATAGTTTGAGACCCAGACCTGGTTACTTGAAAATCACACTGAGTGTGTGATTAATTTTTAGAGATTTTTGCTATAGGGTGTGTGTGTTCACTGGACAGACAGAGACAGAGAGAGATAGACAGAAAGTGAGAAATCACCCCACGGGGGACAACCACACTGCAATCCCTTCTCCATTCTCCTCTCAGGATTTTGGGCAAGCAAGCTTACATGTCCAGTGTGAGTTTTAAGTTGCCAGGTCAGGTACTCGGATGGCAGGAGACTCCGTGGGAGTCCAGTGCTGTGACCATTACGCCAGCTGCTGGTCCCTCTACTCTCACTTTTAGACACCTTGCCGGTTTCTTTCAAGTCCCTGCCCTTTTATAAATGACTCAGAAATCAGAAAAATTAAGCTAGGAAAGAGAAAGTTGGTTATTTCTCAATATTCATTTTATATAAATGTGTTAGGTTTAAAAAGTTTTCCCCCCCCTAAGATTTTGTTTAATGATAAGAAAATGAAGTGACAATCCCAAAAGAGATGGTCAGATATTGGGCTTCTAAGATTATCATAGTGATCATATGTTCTCTTTTATTCCTGTTGTTTCAGTATAAATATTAATAGCACTTTTTTTAGTCCCCCAAATGTCTTGGTTTAGGTTGTAAGATCTATAGTTTCCTTGTCTACTGCTAATATCGTGTCCCTGACAAGCTTAAGCTTTACAAAACAGGCATGATACTTACCAGAAAAGAACACTCAAATAAATATTCAGGAAGTTGCAGCTTATTTGGTTAATAAATAATAAAAAGTTATAAGGGAAAATGAAAGGAAAAGTTACAAACATAATGTGGAATGCTCAAAATAAAGAAAGTCAATGTTTCACTAAGTGTTCTAAATTTTTATTCTTTTTTCAAATTGATTAGAGTCAGAAACTATCGGAGAAACCTCTGAAACTTAAATTGTATTTCTTTTTGAAGATCCCCTGCCCCAGATAATATGTGGAACGCCTTCTCACTTGGAAAGCTAAACATTTCAGCTGATCCTGCCAGGATTTTAACCTGTGGTTCCAGGGAGTCTAAGTATTGCACAGCTGATGTTTGTGCCACTAAGCCAGCCCCTCCAGAATTACCCATATGACTGCAGTATATTTGGCAGTTGGCATATAGGCTTGACTGTCTGCCTCCCTACTGGGAAGGAGTTTTACATGAAGAATCCTCTCTCTGACCTTTGCTTATATATCACCATTGTTTAAAACCATTGCTCTAATGGATGAACATGAGATAATTTCAGGCAACCTATTGTGCTTTCAAGACATCCTATGAATATCTGACTTTCTCAGGACTTCAAGGTCTTTGCTCTGTTTGGATTTCATGGATTTTTAAGTATAGCTGAGCTATTTTGGTTCTTTGCTTTTAGTAGCCGTGCATGTGGTTTTGCTAGCAGGAGTGTGCGAGTGCATGCGTGAAGATCGGGTTATTGAAGTAATGACAAGTAGTGATTATTTTAAAGTTTGTAATGTATGGAAGGCGCTCACTGGTCATATTATAAATATAAAATTGAAACAAGCACTTAAAAATAAGCATCAACAGCACTGCCTTGAGGAGTGATCATATTAATGTGCAACATTAGCTGTATGCTGAGAGGAGAAGGAAATATGAAATGGTGAAATACAGTTGCTGACTTCAAGAGCCTGCCTTTTCATGAGGGAAGTGGGCCATACCCATGTGAAAAGATACCTGTTAAGTAACAATAAAAAGCAACAGTACATGAAATGTACAAGACAGTGATGTAGGAGAAGCAATGAGAGGTACAACTAGCCTTTTAAGTATAGGGATGAGAGATCAGCAGAGTTTGCAGAGGTCTCAGAAGGCATCAGTGAGGATGTAGGGCTCACTGGGGGCCTTTGAAAATGAAGAGAGGTGAGGAAAATGCTGCAGATTTGACAAACTGCATTAATGAGTGTATTTGTGACTCTTCCTTTGAGATCCCTCAGAGGGACTTTCACTTGAGTGAAACGCTATCCTCTTGCATGCAGAAGCTACAAGGGAATAAAATTCAGATCTTAATGATCATTTTCCAAAGCATTCTTACTGTTCTCAACTTCTTAGCCAATATCCAAGGATAAATGGGTGATTTAATTGATGTAACTGTATTTTAATTTTTTAATCTTTTCAATGGGATTTATTTATATTTAAGTAAAAGTAGCAAAAGTTACATAAGTTTTTCTCCTTAAAACATTTATTTCGTGCAATCACATTATTATCAATCACTTTTTTGTGTTTTGATATTTAATATTTTTGTGTATGGTAAATATAACACATTATATAGCAAAGGAATACGATATCTCTGTTAAAACTATAAACTATAAATAAAAATATTTGAAATATTATTGTCATCAAATTAATAAGATTTAAATGGGAAATATTTCATTCTATTATAATGATATATATATACACACACATATAGGTACATATACATTTATGATTTATCTATATCTCCTGATAAAACTCCCAACAACAAAAGCTAGTAAAACAAAAGCTGAAGAAACACATCATAATGTGGTGTTCTTTGTTAAAAATGATGAATATGGTGATATTCTTGATTTAATTATTGCACACTACATTCATGCCTGAAAAATACATTTTATCAGGATAAATGATATATGCTCATTGTGTAAAAAAGACAATATAAATCACTCATGATTCCACAACTAGGGAATCACTGCTAATGTTTGATGGGCTTAATTCCAATAATTTCTCTACATATTTGGATATGTTATATGAAAAACACATGACTTTAAAACTTTGGTTGTCATCATATACATTCTTGTACTCTGCACTTAAAAGAAAGTGCCATTGTATTGAAATCAGCATTTTCTCCATTCTACTGAATATCCATAACCTGAATATGTCTGAATTTAGGAATAAATTTGTTTCACTAATAATTAGGAAGTTGGTTTATCTTGACTGTGGCTTACAGGCAATTTTGAGAAATTGGTTGTAATATTAAGATATTTCAATTTGTTTTTAAAAGCTGTAAGAAATATATTAACCTTTCCGCTGAGAAGTGAAATGAAATCTGACGTTATAAGTTGTGTATGATTTTATATAAATTTTAACCTGGATTTAATTAGTTTTACTATCCTAGGCACTGTTTTTAATTAAGTTCTGTTATTCTACCAATAGTGCTCTTTTAAAATAATCATTTAAAATGAATTGACATTTCCTATAAAAAGAAGCAATGTTTTATTTTCTAAATTATAGTCCTTTTTCTTTATAGTTTGGCATAGAGGATTAAAGAATAAGAAAACTTCCAAAGAAGGACTATCAGTTCTCATAAACGAAGACAAAGAGTTGGCTGAGCTGCGAGGCCTGGCGGCTGGAGTAGGACTGGCTAATGCCTGCTATGCCATACAGTAAGTGGTTGGCCTCTGCATGGGACACCTAGGCAGAGCTGGGGGACTAACGAGAGTGCCCATGCATCCCATGTTGCTCGTCCCACTGGTCCTGGCAATGCCCACTACTCTGGCATAATTATTGAGAACATTCCCTTCCACTCTCAACTGTGGCTTGGAATACATGACAAATTATGTGGTTATCTTATAAGGGAAACACAGAAAAATTAATTAGTTTTCCAGTGTTTTATCATGTGGTTCAACAATAAAAGAAAGAAGGGGATAAATACTAAATTGAAATGAGTAGATGATAATATGGTTGGTTCAACTAGAGGTAGAACTTAAGACAAGAGCAATACCAAAGGCTTTGTGTATGTGCTATTAAATCACATCTTATTCTTTCAGGAGTTACGTGGTAATTGTCTACAAAATCTCTTTAAAACACATGAGTTTTGAACTTGGGTTGTCATCATAATTAAGGAAAATATTTGTGTCTCTTCTCATAAGAAGAGACAAAATAATGGTCTATAAAAAAAAGAAATTATATGGTCATAGACCTTGCTTCTGGAAACTAAATGTAATTTGAAGACATAAAAAAACCAAAATATTTGAACTAGAAATAACCTAAATCAGGTATTCAGAGGTGACTTTGAGAAAACAGTATATTTGATATTCAAGATTCACAGGACCAACAGTTAGCGTAATGGCTATGTCGCTGGACTCCCATATAGCCGACTGTGGTTCGAGTTCCGGACCCAGTGGCTTAAACTAATGCCAGGCACATGTGCGTGCGTGCCCAAGATCCTGAGAGGAGGACGGAGGAGAAAGGATTGTGGCGTGGCCATCCCTCTGGGGGGTGATTTCTTGCTTTCTGTCTTTCTGTCTCTCTCTGTCTTTCTGGCGAGTGCATGTGCCCTATAGCAAAACCTCTATTAAAAAAAATAAAAAAAATAAAAAAAGATTCTCTATGAAAATCTCAAAGCATTTTTTTTTTTTGGAGAGGTTTTTTTTTGCTATAGGGCATGTGCACTTGCCAGACAGACAGACAGAGACAGAGATACAGAAAGCGAGAAATCACCCCCCAGCGGGGATGGCCACGTCGTAATCCCTTCTCCTCCATTCTCCTTTCAGGATCTTGGCCACGCACACACACGCGTCCGGCGTGAGTTTTAAGCCACCAGGTCTGGGCCGCGAACCGCGGTCGACTACGTGGGAGTCCAGCGACATAGCCATTACGCTAACTGCTGGTCCCCCGAAAATATCAAAGCATTTTTAATTTAAAAGGTTTTTTCCCCTGTCATAATGTTCCAAGTGAGAAGATTAGCTTTCTAAATGTTTTCCGGATGGTGATGAAGCTGATGTGATTATAGAAAATTTTGTTTTACATAAGAGATCAGGAATGTGAAACAGTTAAAATTAAAACTCACAAACCCAGATACATTTATTGCTAGTTTGCAATAGAATTCATTCAAATTAGCAACCCGATGAAATTAATAACTATTAACTTTGACAGAACAAGCTATTACAAAAATGTACAAAATGAACATGCGTATGGGACCAACAGTTAGCGTAATGACTATGTTTCTGGACTCCCATGTAGTCAACTGCGGTTCAAGTCCCGGACTTGGTGGCTTAAACTCATGCCAGGCGTGTGTGCATGCATGCCCCAGATCCCGAGAGGAGGAAGGTGGAGAGGGGATTGTGGTGTGGCCATCCCCCTTGGGGGGGGTGGTTTCTCACTTTCTCTCTCTCTGTCTCTCTCTGTCTTTCTGGCAAACACAACCTCTTCAAAAAAAAAAAAAAACTGGTTGGATGCAGGGATGGGGAGAAGAAGGCAGCAAAAACTTGGTCTAGAGTATTTCTCTCCTTTTCCCTCTCTAATGAAGGAAATAAATACATAAACTTAAATAAATTTGGGCCACCAGGTGGCATAGTGGTTAAGGCACTGGACTCCCACATGGCTGACTGTGGTTTGAGTCCCAGGTGCGTATGCGTGTGTGTCCAAACTCCCAGGAGAAGATTGGAGGAGGAGAGCCTGCAGCATGGCCATCCCTCCTAGGCAGTGATTTTTCACTTTCTCTCTCTCCATCTCTGTCTGAAAAGTGGACATGCCCTGTGGCAAAAACGTGAAAAATGAAAAACAAAAGCAATAAAGATGCTTGGAAGGAAACCAAATGACATGGTCTGGTTCTGTCTGGGTAAAAGGTAATGAATAGGAAAGTGTAATAGGAACACACATTCTATATTACTGTGTCACATAGAATGCATAATGCTGCAAAGCTGTGAGATTCACTTTCTCTTTCTCTCTCAAACAGCAGCACCAGTACCAACACCAATGTTTAAACCCGATGCACTTTGGGAGAACAAAAATATTGTTATTTTTCAGTACTCTTCCAACCCAAGAGGAGATTGAAAATCTTCCTGCCTTCCCTCGGGAAAAACTGACTCTGCGTCTCTTGTTGGGAAGTGGAGCCTTTGGGGAAGTGTATGAAGGGACAGCAGTAGACATCTTAGGAGCTGGAAGTGGAGAAATTAAAGTAGCAGTGAAGGTAATGTGGATCTCTGACCTCCTTGACATGTTATGCCACCGTATTTACGTAAATTTGCATGAATATGATAGTAAAACCTGAGTGTTCTTAGTTGAAGAAAGAAATGGCAGACTATAGGAGGCCATCCATAAGTACAGAAATCATATCCCTCTTCCCTCCGTTTCCAACACAGGTTCTACAATCAACAGAAATTCTCCAGAGTTTATCCTTCCTCGGAGACTACTAGTCAGCTAAGCTCTGGCAAATAGTTACTTTCCTTCAAACATATTCTAAGAGAGTGGGAGTTGTAAAAATACTCTCATGGTACTAGACTAGGAGTTGAGCAGATGTTTTCCTAAATGGGCAGATATCAAATATTTGAGGCTTGGTGGTTATGCGGTCTCTGCCACAACCTGCAAGCAGTCAGACTCAATATGCAAATGCATAAGCATGGATGCATTAACTTTATTTATGAACACTGAAACTTAAATTTTATATAATTTTTATGTGTCATGGAATAGTATTCATCTTTTGATGTTTTCCAACCATTTAAAAATGCAAATTCTATTTTCAAATTGCAGGCTGTACAAAAATAACTGACAGGCTGGATTTGGTCCACAGGCTATAATTTGCCGACCTCTATACAACATAATTCTCTTTAAAGAATTATTTTATTTAACTTTATTTATTATTATTATTTTCCAGTTTGATCAGACAGACAGACAGAGAGAGAGACAGAGAGAGAGAGAGAGAGAGAGAGAGAGAGAGAGAGAGAGAGAGAGAGAGAGAGAGAGAGAGAGAGAGAGAGAGAGAGAGAGAGAGAGAGAGAGAAAGTGAGAAAACAAGCCCCCAGGTCCAGGACTTGAACTGTGGTCAGCCATGTGGGAGTCCAGTGTCTTTAACCACCATTCCAACTACCAGCCCGTTTTTTTTTTTTTTTTAATATTTTTTTTTGTCATTGTTTTTAAAGTGTTTGCCATAGGGTGTATGCCCTTATTTTTTTTTTTGTCATTGTTTTTAAAGTGTTTGCCATAGGGTATATGCCCTTATCAGAGAGAGACATTGAGAGGGAAAGTGAGAAATCATCCCCCAGGGTGGTGGCCACTCCACAATTTCTTCTCCTTTTGGGATTTGGGGCAGGCACATACAAGTGTCCAGTGCTATTTTCAAGCCTTCGCATCAGGGACTTGAACTAAAGGTTGGCCATGTCATTGTTTTTAAAGTGTTTGCCATAGGGTATATGCCCTTATCAGAGAGAGACATTGAGAGGGAAAGTGAGAAATCATCCCCCAGGGTGGTGGCCACTCCACAATTTCTTCTCCTTTTGGGATTTGGGGCAGGCACATACAAGTGTCCAGTGCTATTTTCAAGCCTTCGCATCAGGGACTTGAACTAAAGGTTGGCCATGTGGAAGTCCAATGACTTAACCACTATGCTCCTGCGGGCCCTACCACATGATTTTTTAATCATGATATATTTAATGTATGTTTACAGAAACACAATATACTCTCATATTTTTGTTAAACTTTCTTTTGGTAGTGGGATGGTGAATGTTTTATGTAATTAGGCTATATTCTAATCACTGCTTGTTAGAATTAATTGCTTTGAGGGTGGACTATACAACCAGAAAAATAGCCAAAATTCTCTCCACTTCTTAATACTATCATTTAAAAGTCCCTTAACTTCAGCCTCAACTGGTTTAAGCAAGCGTTTATTTTTCTCACATACAAGATAACTGCAGTCTTTGTGGAGAAGGGTGTTAGGTCAGAGCCAGTGTCTCTGAAAAAGCATGATTTTTATACATGTTTATTGCTTTATGGTCTCAATATAGTTGCCAGATAGTCAAACATCACATCTTCATTTAGGCCAGGGAGAAGGGGAAGAATGGTAATAGGTGTATATGTTGGGGAAAACAAAGGGTGTTTCTACAAACCTCTGCCCTCTTGGCAGCTTTTCTCTTACATACCATTGACCAGAACTAAGTCATTTGGTCACCCCTATTTGCAAGGGAGGCTGGAGAATTTCAGAACATGATGTTCATGATTAGTTTAAACCAATTACGTGGGAGTGGGCACCTTGCCTCCCAGAAATAAATTAGGTTATTATTAGCAAGAAATGAGTTAAATAGTGAGTAGACCCTTTTGAAAAGTAAGAAATTGGTCTGTTTACTGCCAGACTAGGTCTCTTTCTCAGTCTCGACATTTTGGTGGGAATTGGGGTAATACTGCTACCTCTTTCTCTAGCAGATGTCTTTACTTAAACACTAGCAATAACAGGAGCTAATGTTTGAATAGGTTTACCGAGGATGTGTGCATGCCTTATCTATGATCTATCTCTCAGTTTCAGAATAGATTTTACAAAACAAGACAAAGATCATCTTTAGTAACTCACTGAGCTCACGGGAATGTCTGCTCTACTGACTTCTGACTTGTTTTTATGTTGCACAGACTTTAAAAAAGGGCTCCACAGACCAGGAGAAGATTGAATTCCTGAAGGAGGCACATCTGATGAGGTATCAGGATATCTCTGAAATAATTTTCTCTCTTCGAGGTGTAGGAAGCTTTTACATCTACTTGTTGAATTTTTAACATCCAAATGACCTGACATAATGGGTAATGCCCCAGAAAAGCATGACTGAAACGTTTAAAGGGAAATACTTCTCTAGTAACAAGTATTTTAAGGAAGCCCTCTAAGCTGGTGCGCAGGCAGCTTTCAAGTGAAAGGTGCTCTTTCCTTTTATTTTCAGTGAGGAATATGTTTTACAAGTGAATTCTGAAGCTTTTCAGCTCTCAGCATGTTTGTGTCCTGAATATGTGATAACAGATCAAGTAGACTCATCAGGGGAGTTTCTTAAGGACTCTGCTATCAGAGAAAACGTCTCTTGCCTTAGTAAATCCGTCTGCAAGGTTTCACCAATTTTTTGGTCATGAAAACTGCTTTAGGGCATCTTAGAGAGAAGTCCTGGGTGTGAGATCCTGAGCTGTGAGTTCTAATCATTATGTTGAGGCTACTTGCTTTTACATCTTGAGAAACTGATGTAGCCAAACTTGCGTGCTGTGAGCTGTTTCTTTAAAAGGGAAAGAACATATTTTATGCTTGAGATGACCAAAGCCATGTTTTCAAGTGTCTTTGGAAGAAAGCCACTAATCAAAATTACTTTCTTTCCAAAACACAAAATACTTAATATAAATGTTATTTCTTCTACAATTGCCCTGTTATATCACATTGGCCACTAGGGGTTGCCATATTATTTCCTTAAGGCAAGCATGTGGGCTTGTACTTTGAAAAGGATGTTTTCACTTATTAGACAACATAAATTAGGGACTTGAAGGACTATGGATAAAGAACTCCGTAAAGACATTCAGTCAGGGCTACTGCCACTGTCATGTCACTCAACCTGTGTCTTTTTACCTTTCAGCAAGTTTAATCACCCGAACATTCTGAAACAGCTTGGTGTTTGTCTGCTAAATGAACCCCAGTACATTATCCTAGAACTGATGGAAGGAGGAGATCTTCTTACCTATTTGCGTAAAGCCCGCATGACAACGGTAGGAAGTGTGGTCCACAGTATTGGCTTCCTAATGTAAATGTCTTAGGATTCCCCATTAGTTTTCTTTAAATTCAATAGACTACAGTTTTGGCTGGTGGTTGAACCTTATGAGACTTCTGTGGAGAGAATTCTCATATTTCCTTTATGTTGGAGTAGGGAAATTAGAACCTTGGGCTATTTATTTGTGTCATTTTCTGGCCTTTTGAGCCTACTTTTGGTAGTTAGTGCAAAATAGGTTCCCCATTGCTTTGTTTTACCTGGCGCGTAAGGGGTCATGGGAGTTGGAACATTCAGTTCTACTTTATATGCTATCTGTCCCAAATTATGTTTCTAGTTCTCATGTCTTTATTAAGCACTAGAGTCATTCCTACTTAGTTGACATATTTGCTTGGCTCTTTCTCTATTCAGATAGAGTGCATACATGTGTATGAAAGAGAGAGCAAGAGAAGCACCCCCATAAGGTCTGGTCACACATGATCTCTTACCTCCAGTCCTCCGCCCTGTTAGATCTCGGGCACTTGCCTATGTGACTGTCGTGGTTCAGGCTGACTGGGATGGAAACTCAAACTATAGTTACCACATGAGATCCTGCTTCCCTTGGGAAATGTGTTACTGCTGCACCACAGAGCCAGACCTCTGATTTGAATATATTGGGCATCTAGAACTTAGTAGTCTGTCCAGAACAGAACTCTTCATTTCAAACATTCTGTCCTACTCCACTTATCCAATGCCTTGCTTTCTCTTTCCCCACATGCATGTCACAAGTCCTGTCGGCTCCATAGCTCCACCTATGAAATGTGGCCCCACTCCATCTTCCTTGTATTCCCTATGCCTAGACCAGAGCCTGCCACAGTGTGGACCCTGGAAATATGGTGGCCTCGTGGATAGGGTTAAGAGTGACCACCTGCAGGAACTTGCTGTATTTCTCTGAAGAGGAACATGTGAGCCAAGTCACTAACAATTAAATCTGTAGAGTTAACACAATTTTAAAAATAAAAATAAATATTACATGACTGAAAACCTAAAATAAATGATGACAAGGCCCATAGGAAATGAGCTCTGTCTATATATAAAATATTTTAAAAATTACCTAGAACTCTATATATTTTCTGGTATTAACCTTTGTGTTTCCAAATACTCCACTAATACTGATTTTTTTTTAAAATGTTTACTTTTGGGAGCAATCTATTTACTGCCTACTAAGGAAGATGAGGATTTAACTCAGACTTCTTCATATACCTGCCCAACTCCACCAGGATAGCACACGGAACATTTTTGCTTTCCCCAACCTCCAACAGTTATTACAATTTTCAGATAAGTCAGTATTTTGGGTTTGCATTATTATAGCTATTTGACTATTTTTTTTGTGTGTGTGTGTGTAGCTTAATAACCCAAATACCATACAGACTGTGGGCTCCCCTGCCACACACACCTTGGGCTAGTTTAATAAATGCTTTTTGTCCTTTGTTTCATTTACTTAATTTTCTATATTTCTAAACTCCCTGATAGAATTATAATACTATTCTCAATATGATTAAATATATCAGGTAATGTAGCACTTAATTTTTTTCCTGCACATGTCCTTCCCGGAATCAATGTGTGGGAGATTGTCCTCCAGAATAGTTACACAGCTGCTCTCCTAGAAGTTCCCTTCATCTTTATTTTGGTGTTCTCCTGCAACTTTTGTCTAGTCTGGACACCTTCCTCTTGATCTTACAACTTCTTTTTTCTGTTTTAGAAAAGATAAAACAATGTGAAGCAAAAATCTTTGCTTTTTATTTTCTTTTTCTTTCTTTTTTAATTTACTGGAGGGCACATGCACTTGCCAGATAGAGAGAGAGAGGAAGAGAGAGAGAGAAAGCATCCCTTCAGTGGGGTCTAGCCACACTGCAATCTCCTCTTCTCCATTTCTCCATCCTGTTGAGATTTCTGGACACAAACCACATGCACTTGGTGTGTGTTTCCAGCTGCTTGGGCTGGGTTATGAACTTTAGTTGGCCATGAGGGATCTAGTTCCCTTAACCACTAGGCTATGGGGCTGGCCCTCTTTCTCTTTTTGAGAAAATATCCTTTATTTTTGCCTCACATTTTATTGATAAATTGGCTGGATTCTTCGTTAAAAACCAGTTTTCCTTTTTTTTTAATCTAATTTTTTCCCTAAAATTAAAAAAAAAGGTAATTACATTCATTCACTATATATCGATACAATATACAAAATGAGATTGTCTATCCAGAATACATTGCATATTGACTCAATCAAGGATATTACCACACATATTATCATCAAACAATAATTTTCCATTCCTTGTTCCTTATATATTTTGCTTTTTTCCCCCTCCTTGATTGCTTACTTCTCATCCTCTGCCATATACCCATCTCCTCCCACACTGTCTCTGTTATCTAAAATTGTTTTCCATGTGTTTCCCCCCCTACATTTTATTGATTCACTAAAGATGTTAATTAATTTAAAAGCTTTCAAAAGCAAGCACAGCTGGTATATACATATCTATGAATACATGTCTGACTTCAGGCATAAACCTCAGTGAGTAAAGTGAACATACTATAAAGTAGCACCTAGCTGGGGCTATCTAGCTTCCTGCAGTCATTAAATAAGTATTAATAGTTATTTTTAATGCATTTTTTAATTTCAAGAAATACAGTTTTAGCTTTAATAGATCAAAAATCAAAAATGTTAAGATAAATTGCTTAAAACTTAAAGCCAGGAAAAAGGTTAGGATTCAGTTCAGATAGTAAGTAGATGAACCAATCAACAGTTCAAGAGAAGACAAAAATCCTTAAATCTAGTAAACAAAGCATTTAAGAAAATCAGCAATGTTTTAATCTAAAATTAAAAAATTCTATTTTACTAGTTCAGTCTCATGTAATGAATTTCTCTTCCACTGAATTTGCAGTGTTACTATGGTCTGATCTTTCCATTTAAACTCTGGAAGTTAACATTCAACTTGAAACTTGTCCCTACCATTAGGATGGCCATTTTCTTGGTTGTTTTTGTACTCTTTTGTCTGTGTGTGTGTGTCTGAGAAAGGTAAAGAGAAAGGAAAAGAAAAAAGAGAGAGAGAAGAAGAATCAAGACAAAAACAATAAAAAAAGAAAAAAATTTAAGCAAAAAATGAAAACTGCATGGAATGAGGCCGCTCAGAACTCAGATATAGATGGCTGGTGATTGGTTTGTCATATGGGGGTGTGGGGAAAGGTACAAATTAGTAAGATGAAAGAGTGGCAGAGAAATTAGAAATTTAAAAATTAAAAAAAAAAAATTAAAATAGAGCGAGATGGAGAGAGAAAGAGAGAATAAATAGAGTGCTCTAACCTGGCTCCTGGCTAGGTCTGGTGGGCAGGAGGGTGAAGTCTGAGCAGAAGGTCTTCAGTAATCCTAATCCCTGAATGAGACTGCTCAGAACTCAGATATAGATGGCTGGTGATTGGTTTGTCCTGACTCTTGGCTAGATCTGGGGGACATGAGGGTGAAGTCTGGGCAGTGAAAGCCAGTTTTCTTATAAATAAGGCCACTGGGACCAGTGGCTGGTGTAATGGTTATATCACTGGACTTCCACATAGTAGACCATGGTTTGAGTCCTGGACTTGGCGGCTTAAAACTCACTCTGCACACATGTGCATGTGTGCCCAAAATCCTGAGAGGAGAATGGAGAAAGAATTGTGGCATGGCCATTTCTCTTGTTGGGTGATTCTCACTTTTTGTCTGTCTCTCTTGTGAGCACACACATACTGTAGCAAAAATCTCTCTAAAAAAATAATAATAAGATCACTTTATCTTTGTTCTCTAGCTTCTATAACTGCCATTTAAAAAATCCCATCATTCTGATTTTCAAACTTATTATTGATGGCCTGCTTTTGGCCTTTGTCTTTGGGAAATTTTAAGAAAATTTTATTTGTGGTACTCTACCCATCTGTACTTTCAGTCTGGAGATCCATCCCCTCCAACTCTGAGATTCTTTCCCATATTATTCCTTTGATAATAAATAACACAGTTTGTTCCTCTGTTTTAGAAACTCCATCAGCTGGATGATGGACTGCCTTGTTTCATCCTCTCCCTCTGTTAGCTGTTCTCTCCTGTCTTCTAGCTCTTTGTCTTTTTGTAATTTATTCTGATGGATTTCAACTTTGTCTCCTAATCTTTTCATAGAATTTAAAATTTCTGTTATCATATCATCATTTTACCAGGTTGACTCTTATACTTGGACTTAATTATGAAATAATATTATTTCTTTTTCATCGATGTAAACTGTTTCCTTAAAGATTTTGTTTGGGGAACCAGCAGTTAGCGTAATGGCTATGTCTCTGGACTCCCACGTAGTCGACCGCGGTTCTCATCCCGGACCCGGTGGCTTAAAATTCACGCCGGGCACGTGTGCATGCATGCCCAAGATCCCGAGAGGCGAATGGAGGAGAAGGGATTGCAGCGTGACCGTCCCCCTTGGGGGGTGATTTCTCGCTTTCTGTCTCTATGTCTCTGTCTGTCTGGCGAGCACATGCGCCCTATAGCCAAAACCTCCCCCCCCCAAAAAAAAAAGATTTTGTTTGATGTTAGTTTGCTTTCTGCCTTGTCTTCATTTCCCATTTTCTCTTTATTTTGGGATTGCTTTTCAACATTAGAAGATATTCTCAAATGTTTAGTGATCCTTGGCTGTTCTTCATATTTAATATTGATGCCTAAGGAGTTGATCAGAACCCATTTCTTTGGGAAAATTTCCTTCTAGTTGTTGAGTAGGACCCTGCTGTTCATTGCTGGGGGCGGGGGAGGGTTCCCCCTAATGTCAGTGTCTAAATCTCTTCCCTGGACTATGTCAGTTTCACCAGAGAGAAATTTGTTGGTCTCACCTGGGCAGTAAATGTCTGATGCCTGTGCTTAGGGAGTTGACAGGGCCTGGAGGTCTCAAGGATCAGTATATAACTGTCATTTGATTCCCTTCCTCATCTCAGCACAGTACATTAGTGTGACCAGTGATCTTTTTGGAG